CATACACTTTATGCTTAAGCACCACACAGCTCTTAAAATATTCACTGGCCAGTAGCAGCGCTTTTTTCAAGCAGAAATAATGCTATTAGGTGAGGAAAGCACAGCAGATTCCTTACAAGAATCTTGACAGCCTACAAAATGTCCCAGAATTTTTTATCCTGTGGCTGACTCACATTTTTAAAAGTCACTATCAGCACAACGTCAGACAGACAAAGAATTAAAAAAAAAGTATGGCCGCAACAAAACCAAGCCAAAATCTATTCCCAGACACATTATATTACATTGGATTTTGTGCTTTGGGGTTCACAATTTTCTTTCTCCACTCGACACTGAAGCACTGACCACTTCAGCGGGATCCTTATACTTTAGGCCTTGTTAACATGCTCTGAAAGACCTTTTCCCAGCAGGTAATCAAAATTTCTGAGATCAGTGTTGTATTGACAGAGAGCCACTGTTATTTTTTATGATGTTATAGAAAACATGGCTGCCTGCACTACTGAAACTAATTGGGTTTTTTGCCAGTGACTAAAATGAATTCACATACCTCAGCCAGCAAGCACTGTTGGAAAGCACCTACTTGCTGCAGATCTTTCTCGGACGATTACAAAAAGCAAAAAGTGACTAATGTTTTAACTTTGGATTAAGTTTTTATTTTAGAGTAGTGTTTAATGCTCACAGGTATTACCCCTAAGAGTTACAAACCTTATCCTTGTTGATGGGTATGTTGATTCTTTAAGGATACACCAAATGTAACTGGAGGAAAGCTTAGCAGGTTTTGCAGTCATGAGGGGCTCACCTTTTTAAAGGTAATTAAGATCTTGTAACAGTTTCCCCATATTAAACTACCAGTCCTGGAAACAGGAGCAGTGTGCTCTGTTACAGACATAGACCTACAGTACTTAATATTTAGTGAATGACAAGGCAAGTCACACAAGCCATCTGTTCACTGCTGCAGGGCTAGTTTCACTCCATGCAATTTACCACATATGGGCCTTAATAATTCATGCCAGGAGTGCTTTTGCTTTTGAACAATGTCGCTTCCAACAACAAAATACCAGACACTAAAGTTTTATGGACAGAACTCTCACTTATTAATGATATCACATTTGCACATAAATGGAAAAAACGAAAATGCATCCTGGGAATGATTTTCTAAACCCGGGAGATGAACGTAATGGCTTTTATGGCGTGTAGCCTGTTCACTTCTCGGGATGAGGGCACGGACCCGAGCTGTACCGTTTCGAGTCAATTCTGAGCAGGGGGTAGCAGTCAGGGCTCCCAACAGCAGCTAATGGCTCAATTACTCTGTCATACACACCGAGTGGGTTCAGTGGATGAAAGGGAGACGTGGTTAGGCCTGTGTGGGCTTGGCATTTCAAAATGGAGTTGAAGGAGGGGAGGGGGGTTTAACGAGGCTGACCTCAGAAAAAATGCAAGAGACGTTTACTGGGATTATTACTCAATTGGCAGTAATGATAGTGCTACAATATTATCTTTACAGGATTCCAACCCCAGGCCATGAACTGGAAGCCAGATGCTCTCATATACAGAAATAGCTGTCCTTTTTTTTTATTACTGTAAAAGTTGACTTATGAAAGGAAAGAAATGAGAGGCGGAAAAAAAAAACATGAATAACAAATTCGTTCCACAGTCCTAAACCAGTGGCTCTGACTTCGGCACTTTAAAGAGTGAGTGTTCTTCGCCCTCAGCGTCTTCCCGAGTTTCTACCAAGAACCATAGCGATACGGGCTGCGTCTCCGCGGCGTACCTGCGACACAGACGGCCTCTTCTCCTTGCCCCGCTTGGTGAGGCTGTCCAGTCCTTTGAGGGAGGAGAAGAGCCCCCTCTTGCTGCGGACCCGCTGGGACAGGGACAGAGATCTCTTCCGAAGCATCGCCTCGTCCCGCGAGCAGATCTGAGCGCATTCGGGCGGAGAGAGAGAGAGAGAGAACACTCAGAAAACAGGCACACAAGGACTAGACTGCCCACACCTTGACAACGGGCCCAGCCACACGGCTGGCCTGTGAGCCCTCACAGACATCAAGGCAGGTACACCCGAGCAGGGGCTGAGAGGAGAGGGACTGGTCTTGTTTGGAATTAACCAGATGTCAGCACTGAAAAGTCACTGTGTGAGGCTTGTGGATGTCCACTCTACACAGCCACCTGGGACAGGGGGGGTACCTTTCCAAATGCTGAAAATCAGGAAGCAGATTCTCTCAGCCCTGGAGAGCACTGAAACACAGCACAGATCTCCGCAAGCACACAGTGGAGATTCAGCCATCCACCCATTTTCTAACCTCTTCATCCAATACAATCTACCCTGGGCGGGACGCCAGGACACACAGACGCACACAGACGCCAGGCCAGTTTCCCAGAAGACAATTTACCTGCCGGCACATCTCTTGACTGTGGGAGGGAAACTGGAGCAGATGGAGAAAACATACAAACTCCACACAGACAGATCCCCAGGTCAATGGGGCAATGAGACCCCATAGAGGGAATTATTACACCTAATTATAATATACTATAACCTTTCTCTTTTTAACTTAGGTGTTGTGACTGTCTGAGTTATTTGATTAAAAAGTCTTTACTAAACAAAAAACTGTTAAATCTGCGTCCATTCATTTCTTATTTTCACTTCATGGGGGAAGAAAAAAATAATTTTGAAAAAAAACTGTCCATTTGTTAGAACCTAAAAGAACTTATAGATGAAATAAGGCCATTCAGACAACCCTGCCTATCCGGCTGATAGGAGTTTAATGGTCTAAGAACTTAATTAACCCATTGCTCAAGAAAATAAGAATCACCGTATTAATAAATTATTGCCAAGCAGACAGGAAAATGGACGAACTGTAAATGTGCTTGATTAAAATAGGCCAATTTCAGGAAACAAGCAGACAAGACATTATTATAACATTATTACTCTCCTCCTCCCTCCCTGTAAAAGATCACCAGCTGACCCGACAGCGCTCCTCCCCTTAGGTTGCTCTTACCAAAGCGTGGAAGGAGGAGACGGAGAAGATGCCCAGCCTACTGAGAGCCACCTTGGAGGGCCGGCTGGCAGCTGCCAGGAGGCTCTTGGGATTGGGAAGCTCTCCCCCTTGCAGACTTGCCAAGTAGCAGCGCATTCGAAACAAGTCCATGTTAAACTTCTCCAGGTTCTGCTCCCACTGCTGGATCTGGGCAGGACAGGGTGCAAGACAAAGGCCGTGGGTCAGATGGACACCGAAACAGCTGTCATCGCTTTCACGCGGGGAACGGGAATGCCAGAGCAGGTTCCCAGGAGGGGGCAGGGGCACACGTCTAATCACTTCCTGGCAAGCCTCTCGCTCCCCGCAGTAAACGTCCGACAACAAAGGTGATGGGGAACAGAGCCACACGAGCCATTAGGAAAACACGTGCACCAATCACATCCCAGCAACCAGAGACTGTGACGACGCCAAGTATAAAAACAGATGGGTTCTGCCTCGTTTTCTGTGGGAAAACGCTTTTTGTTTAGTTTAATAGTCTGCCTTTCCTGTACACAAATCCCTAGGAAGGTGAAAATTAATAAGTGTGAAATCTTTTTTTCCGTACAATAGAATTCCCAGAGTCCTCCTGGTGGCGATCTATCGGTAATATACCAGCATAAAGTGAACCCGGCCAAATCGGCCACATGTAAATAAAGATCAGAACAACATGTAAACTGAAAAAAATCGAGTTACTTTTAGCTATCAGAAAAGGTATCTCCTCACTGACGCGCAGTTACACCACAGTTACGCTAACAGAAAGGACTAAGAAGGGGGGAGAGAAATATTAACATTAAACATTAAACATTAAACAAGGTGACGCATTTGTTGGCTTTCACTTCAAACCTTAAAGGCACAGGTACGCTGCGAGCCATTCTTAGTTTCACAAAATTGACATTAAAAGACATTAAGTCTTTTCCCCAAGCCGAAGAGTTGCTTGACAGCGGGGTACCGCACAGACAACGACTTCGTACACATTTAAGACAAAACATATAACCGCTCTCAGGACTTTCCACAGAAGCCTTCTTGGAATGCTGGCGCTCGAGACCAGCAGCGCGATCTGTGGGAATGACCATGTCAGGGCTAATGCAATTAACAGTAGGTATTCTAGGGCACTGGATGGGATAATGCTGTCCACTGCTCTGGCACTAATTTGCGAATCACAAATAGTAACTTTATCTCTTTAAGGAATCCAAGGAGGATTAGTTTTTTTTCTCGACAGACAGCGGGCAATGAGTAACAACCCAGTCGGTGTGGCAAAAGAATGGTTTTACTTGCATGAAGTCTACATGAGTGTGTGCGTTTCACAGATTATGCTACTACCCTAACAAACGTAAGCAGTACGGTCTTTCAAGAACTCTTTCAATTGAATATAAAGCATCTGTTTGAAGAAGGAAAAAAATAAATCAAAGCCTATTTATGCAAACCTGACTTTTTAACACTTCCATGTACAGTTTACATATACATGGTCCGAAAATATTCAGGAATCTAAGGTGGAGTAAAAATGTTTCGTTTTCTACATTTCAATAAATTGCTCAAAAAGCAGCAAATTCCGAAATTGAGCTATAGCTGTAGAATTTCATATGCATTACCAAATGACTGCATTGTATAAGGGAGGAAACACAAATCAACATTCGAGACTGCCTTATCTTGTCATCAATTCAGGAAGGCCAGATTTCACAGGCTTGGACATTTCAAAGAAAGCCCGCTAAAAGAGTGCTCAGGAATGTGTGCAGGGGAAAACACACTTTGTTGTGTTTCATTTTAGAAGTATTGCCAGTTCTACACCAAAACAGACCCTGCATGACTGTCCCTTCACAGTCACCACATACTGCATCCATCTGGTTAAATGAGTCACCAACATCAATGGGACGTTATTTGATCACATTTTTGCCATTATAAAGATACAGAAAGAATGTGTGCTTTTGGGGAGGAGGGAGGAGTTACAGCTACTTCTCTCCATTATTCTTTGAAAGAAGCTGACTTAATTGTTTGAACTCCTGAGATTATCCTTTAATTTGCGAGAGGCCAAGAAGTCTACTTCAAACAGACCTCATGGTCCCGATTTCACGGACAGGACATCAAAGTCATTTGGGGCTGGAGATGAAAGTCTGGCTCCCTGTCGACTAGTCAGGGCCAGTCTCCTTCACTGCAGCAAAGACCGAGGGGCCCCTACGCAAAAAACACCCCGACTTTCCCATTTTGCATGGTCGTATCAAAAGCAAAAAAACCTAGGAAATACATTTTGTATTCAAAGGGCAGCCATTTTCACAGTTTAAGGGAAAAACATTTACAACAATGAATTTCATTCAGTCTTTTCACATTTTATGCAAACTTAGAAAAAAAGTAAAGATTTTTTAGTTAAAATATCAATGCTAGCAGCAGATGAACCAGAATACAGAATCACACGAGAGTTCTTATGCCTGGGGTAATTCCTAGTTGCCCCAAGAACAATATACAACCAATTTCCTGACTTTAAATAAGATAAAAAAAGAGTTTTAAGCTAACAAACCTCCTGCCTTAATTCCCTCTGCATAGATCTCTTTTTTTTCTCTAATTTGTAACAGGGAATTGTAGATATCAGAACTCAAACGTCTTGCTGGCTTGGGCACAGGCAGAAAACAGTTTTGCTCCAGGCAAATCCATGATTTCATCTGGTTTTCTCTTCAGGCTGAAATACTTTGAAAGTCGATAATATGAAGTAAGAGCCTATTACCACAAACATCTGGAATACAAATTGAATGCAGCCAGCAGTGGCAGCATGCCTCGCAGTATACAGCCATTCAAAGTCTAACATTATACTCCGTCAGATCCAGTCGATGAACTGCATTTTGAAAGTTAACTTTGTAGCTTACGATCGCATTTTTTCCCCTCAAAATCAGTTTAAATCTTAGTTTTATGAAAGTCCCTTTTCCTGCCACTTTATAGCAATTCCTTTCAGCTGAAAGTAAATCAGTAAAAAAAAAACAACAAATCAGATGGAATTTAACTTCTAGGACCCCACAAGTATCACAAACATCAATCTCCTTTCTTCTACTCTGCTAACACAATTTCATTCCCTTTCATTCCTTTCCGTACCTAGTTCAAGCTCAAGCAGGGAGCTGCGTCAGCACAGGCTGCAAACGAACAGGGAAAGGTTTATTCCATGTTACACTGGTGTGGAAATAAAGGCGCTGTGCTTTGGATGAGGCGTAAAACCAAGATCCTGACTCTCTGTGGTCATTAAAAATCCCAGGGTGTTTCTCGAAAAGAGTAGGGGTGTTACTCCGGCGTCCTGGCTATATTTCCCATTGGCCTTTACCAATTATGGCCTCATAATAATCCCTATCTCTGAACTGGCTCCATCACTCTGCTCTCCTCCCCACTGAGAGCTGGTGTGTGGGGAGTGTACTGATGCACTATGGCTGCTGTGGCATCATCCAGGTGGGGCTGCACACTGGTGCCAAGACTGAAACGAATGAAGTCTGGCCTTACCTGGTTCTCGATGGCCTTCCGGTTCTTCGGGTCGCTGACGATGGACAGCTGGAGCTCCGCCATCTTCTTCATCTTGCCGTCCATGTCGATCTTCTGCGCCAGGCTGCGGGTCTGGCTCCGCAGCAGCCGCACCGTGTCCTCCTTCCCCTGCCTCTTGGCGAAGAGCGACGCGCTGGCCGAGTGGATGGCGGTGACCCAGTTCTCCAGGTCGGTCTGGCTCGTGGCCTGCAGGACACACGCGGCGAAACACAGACCACCCTGAGAGGCTGGCCCCCGACGCGCTCGGCTGGTTCAAAGGGCAGCTCCGGACCGCGGAGAAACAAACCCCTCCCAGTTGCAACCCGACAGCCCGTTAATAAAACTAACCCCCCACCCCACCGCCGATTGTCTCTGACAAAGCCCCACTCCTCACTTTGTTCGGAAAAGGTGTGAAAAACCACTAAACAAACGCTTTGTGGCATTGATGCCAGGGCTACATTCGTCTTCCCGA